CGATAAACACCTCCACTACCTGTTTTTGCTCTTAGATCCATAACTAGCGTTGAATTCCATTGAGTCTCAAAAGATGAAGTACAATTATGACCCAGAAGGAAATGTGTTACCCTTCAAAAGAACTTTTCAGTTTTTCTAAGACATACAAGCAAAAACCTGGATAGTATGTGTGTGAATAGCTATTAAGGATGTGGATAATGGTGTTGTTGTTGTTGTTAAGTGTGCCTAATCCAGGCATGATGTTCTCAATTACTTGTTATTGTTCAGAGAGTTGGACAATGACTAAGGATAGCAGAAGAATAGATGTCTTCAAGTTGTGGTAGTGGAGAAGAGTTTTGAACATACTATGGACTGCCAAGAAAACAAACAGGCCTGTCTTGGAGAGGGTGAAACCGTCTCTCCTTGGAGGCTAGGATTTTAAATAGCCCCTTCATTAACTTCGGGCATGTTGTCAGGAGAGATCGGTTCTTGGAGAAGGACATCATGCTCAGAAGGGTGGACGGACAGCTCGGGAGAGGAAGACCCCAGATGAGATGGATTGATACAGTGACTGGGGCAATGGGGGTTGGTGTGTCGGAGTTAGTGAGACTGGCTCAGGACAGGACAGGCAACTCAATGGCACATAAAAACAATAACATACTATGACAGGTTTGGAAGCAGGAATGACACCCACTTCCTAAATAACATGCCGCTGGAAACGCTATGAACTTTGATAAGTGTCGATAGTTGTATAGGGGCTTCAGGCCTTTTGTTCACAGGGTTGCTATAAGACATGCTCAACTCAAAGGCAATCAACAACAACAAGCATAGAGTCCTCATTAAAAGTTTCACTTTAAGGGGTTAAAAAGGATCAAAGGGTCTACTTAGTTGATTCACTAAAGCATAGACCATGCTGTAGCCTATATGAAGTCAGGCTGAAATAGCACATATGCTCTGGTATAGTGCAGAAGAATGTGCCTAAAGACTTAGGGATATAGACGTGTTAGACTGGATCTGCTCAGTTAGACCCATAGATCCACACATAGGATGCCCAGAGGACGCGTCATTTACCACAATGTTGAGGGACCAATTTGTAAAGGGAGCCTCAGGATTATTGAAAACTGTTGTGATTGCTATTTTATATAAGCCACATTAAGAATGGGGACTATCCTAACTCAATTAAGAATCTTGACTATAATGAAAGATCTGTGAAAGAGGAAGACCGATGAATTGACAGTGATTGGTGCAATAAGTCCAGATCTGTTGTTCATAAGTCTTTATGGGTTGTATTCCACTTAATGGCACCTGACAACAACTATCATGATGTTGGTTGGATCCTGTAGTGGTGGCGGCCATGTAGCTGCACTGAAACAATGAAGACAAGGTGACTGTTATTACCATAATGGACAGCAGATTCAAAGCAGTAATCAGAGTTATCTGATTTGTGTGGATTTATGGCACTGGCTATTTAGTCATGTTATCCCTGGGAGTGATACTGATAGAAAATCTGCTAAATATTTGTTTAATCTATACAAGAGGAAGAATTCTAGGTCAGTTGAGCAGCAGTTTAACTTGAAATAACAGTTCCTATAGTTGAGCGAGTTTATCACTCACAACTCCTTGAGTGGGGTAGAGAATGGGTGTCCTTAAGGAAGGACCCCAGTGTTGTTGTTTCCCAGGGGGAAAGTTGGGCAGTTTCTTGCTATGCAACTTACTGCCTCTGTGGACTCACTGCAGGGTCAGCTGAACTGGTTCTGACTTGACAGTAACTCAAGTTCAGGTGAGTAGTGCATGAAGGAGCTTCGATGGTATGGTATGTAATGTGCCAGGCTGCTAAACAAAAGTTCAACAGTTAGAATCCACCAGTTACTCTAAGGAAAAAAGATGGACAGTCTCCTCCCGTACAGACTTAGAGCCCTAGAAACCCTGTGGAGGAAACCTGGGAGTCAGCCTCAATGCAGTGGTTGTGGGTTTGTTTTGGTACTAAGCAGGGAAAGCAAAGCGGAGGCCAGTCAGTTCATTTGCTTTTAACACCTCTTCACTTTTGTTTGAATCAGCTCTCACCCCTCCCTCCTAATCTCAATCTCTGCTGAACCTAAAGGAGAATTTATCAAGTGACTAAGGAAGCTCTGATGGCCTAATGGTAAGAACCTGCATTGCAGTCCTGAATGTACATGGTTCAAATCCATCAGCTGCTCCACAGGATAAAGATGGGCAATCTCCTCCTTTCTAATTAACTGCCTCTGAACCCTCCCCCAGTGGGGTCACTATAGGTCAGTTATGACTTGACAGCACACAGTAACAAGATCAAGACAGAAAGAGACCAATGTCTCTGAGTCCCAGGAAATTACTAAACTACTTAATTCAGTTTTTGCATTGGACCAAGGACACTTATTTCCAGGTGGTCCACTCCCCCACTTCCTCCTGCAATAGGTCACCCTTTTGAAGAGGTGCATCTTCCTGGGAAAGAAATACAGGAAAGGACATTGGCCTGGAGTTGTCATAGACTGGAATTCTGCTGTGTTGCACACTTAGAGTGATCTTTATTGAGTCATTGCTCATTTCTGGTCTTCCATTTCCATACCACTGGAGGGTTGGGTCAGATGGTCTGAGAGGTCCCTCCTTACTTTAATAGGCCACTATCCTAAGCCTATGAATTATGTCTCTATTGTGCATGTAATTATATTTCAAAGCCGTGTTCTCTTTGAGCCATGTCATCGGATTTTCCAGTTATAGGATTAGTATGTAGATATGGCTCCAGGTTATCCTTGCAACACTCCAAGACAAAACAGGCATTCATTTTTCTGTCTTAATAGTAATACTTTACATTTGCTTTGGATTTTATAGAGTGCTGATTCATTGATTCATTTGTGTCTCATGAACCTGGAGAAGACAAGGTACTATTGCCATTGTAGTTGAAAAACATTGAAGGTCAGGGAGTGGAGGCAACTCCTCCAGGTGCCAGACCCCACTATAAGTGTTTTATGGGTCCCCTCACAACAGCTCTTTGAAGGAGACAATATTACCCTCACTATTGTTGGTAGGCAATGACGACGACTAAGAGAGAGCTACGTTGGCCTAGTGGAAGGAAGCTGTGCTACCAAGCCGAAGGTGGGTGATTGTCATCTGTGGCCCTCGGCCAGGTTCAAATTGTCTTCCTGTCAAACATTCTTCTAGGTGGTATAGCACTGGTCTGTGTGTTGCTGTACAGAGGTAACTCGTGGTTGCTGTGATGCTGAAGTCTGTGACAGTGATGTGCCAATCGTGGTAATGGGCACCCATGGTGGACAGTGTTGGCTGGAGCTTCCCGACTAAATCAAGCCTGGAAGCAGGAGCAGCATCCACTTCCAAAATGGCTTGCCTCCAGAAACTCTATGTACAAACAGTGCTCAGGCTGTTCGTTCATAGGGTCGCTATGAGTCGTCTACGACTCGACGGCATTAAACAACAACAACAACAATTGTTGGTAGGTGCCATTGAGTCAATTTCCATTCCTAGTGATCCCATGTGACAGGATAGAACATCTCTGGTGGTCTAGTGGGTAAGGAGCTGTTCTGCTGACCCAAAGCACTTGGTTTAAATCCACCATCTTCTCCACAGGAGAAAGATCAGCAAGTAATCTCCCCCCATGCATTTTACAGACTCTGAAAACCTGCTGGAGCATTAGCCATAAGTTGATTCTCACTTGACTGCACACAACAACAATAACAACAATCTCTGGGGGAGCAGATTACTAGGTCTTTCTCCTACAGATCTACTGAATGGGTTTGAACTAGCAACAATTCCATTATCAACTGAGAAATTAACCGTTACACTATTTCACAAGTGTGGAAAGGAGGGCCCAGGAAGCTACGGTGACTTTCCTAAGATTATACTCATAGTAGGAGATGGAGGTCTGCTTCGCTGACTCAGAACTCCCGGCTCCCCTCCTCTTTATCACTCGCTGCCTCATTGAGCTTTTCCCATGAGATGCTGAAAAGATAAGCCTTAGGAGTTGTCTTCTCACCATAGGGCTCCTTCTCCTTCCTTTTCAGATCATCCCTCCAAGTCCATTTAGCAAGTCATTCCAACTCACTGAATCTCTGTCTCATTATCTATAAAATTGAGGGAACAGTCCCAACTTCATAAGAGTGTTAGAATGCTGGTTGACATAGTCAGATTATGGAATTTGAGCACTTAGCCCAGAGCCCACAGAAACAACTCTATAATGGCTGATTTGTTTTACATTTAGAAACAACCATCTGTTATAAATAATAATAATAATAAATTAGTAGCAGTTGTGACTGTTCTAACTCGTGGCCTCTTCACGTGTGTCTGAGTAGAACTACACTCCATGAGCCTTCAGTGACCAATGGAAGTGCAGCCTTCTGTGGTGTCTCTGAGTGGATTTGAACTGTCAGTCTTTCAGTTAGTAGCCAAGTGCACTGCATTTGTGCCATCCAGGAATCCATCCATGTTAATATTGTTACTGTGTGCTGTTGACCAGAAGACTCCTAGAGACTCTCTCACCGAGAAGAGCTGCCCCTTGGAATTTTCTAGGCCTTAGGCCTGTAGGAGCAGATTGCCAGGGCTTTTCTCCTACAATGTGGCCACTGAGTCTGAACAGCTGATCTTCCCATTAACAACCAAGTCCTTAATGATTGGACCACCTAATACCAGACAATTCCTTTCCCTACAAATAAAATTAAAACCACAACAAACTGTCAATTTTTTAAAAAATAAAAGGTTTTTATTATGAAAACAATTAGAGTCAAACAATATCACCCATGTATCTGCAATAGCAGAGAAACAGTAGTGGCGAACTATCCCCATGGGGGACATGTATGCCTCAGCAGGACAAGCATAAATAATAGAAATAACACCAATTCCCATGGTGCATAGTAAAGATTAAATTAAGAGGAAGGAACAGGGAATATCAAGAGGAGTCTTCAGCATGGAGAGGCTGTGTCTCCCTGAGAAATGTTGAGGCTCGGATATCTCTGGAGACAAGCTGCTCTCGTGGCTGAAGAGGCTCAGTTCACTCAGTTCAGCTCCAGGTCGTCCACGTACTCCTGGACCCAAGGCTCAGTGGGGTCAGCACAAACTTGCCTGCCCTTTTTGGTCTGGAATCTGGGGAATGAGAAGTGGACAGATCAGAATCCTATAATACTATCGCCAGCATCTGCTACTGCTCTTTATCTAACTGTAGGAGGTATCTCTGCTTGAAGAGCATCGCTACTTGAACGGCATCACCCTAGTGAATGGCACTTCTGAGGGTAGCATTGATATCATACTCCCTGTACTTCCACTCTTAAGATGTCATCATGGTTCAGATGTTGCCTAAGTTAGGAATCAGTGAATCCTGCCATTGATGTGGCTACATCTCTCCATTTCCTACCAACCCAACAATGACTTTTTTATGTTTTCTTGCAGAAGTTCACATCTTATGTGACCTTTTTTTTAAAAAAAAACTTTTACTTATTTCCTAACTTCTGGCTAACTTCCTTCTAAGATCTTTCTTCTCCTTTGCCTCTCCCAGCCTCCACACAACTCAACAAACAACCTCAAGGCTTGTTTCCTCACTGCCCCCCTAGACACTAAGAATTCAGTTCTGAGATTTGCTTTCTTGGTGCTTCTGTTCCTGTACCCCTCTTTCAATTCCTCCTACCTACCCTCACCCCAGAGGAACCTAGGGGTCGATACTCACACCACAGCTGGCTTGGAGCAGAGGCTGCTGGTCTCAAAGTAATCCAACACAAAGTTGCGAGGAAGCTTCCGTCCAGTGTAGGAGAAACAGCAGGCAGTCGGAGGGTCTGAGCCCACTACAAGAGAGAAGGATGGGTTGAAGTCAAAGCTGCTCATCTGAGAATTTCTTAGAGTTCTTAGAAGTTCTTAGAGTATTATAGAATACCAAATGTGGTTCCTTACCTACAATCTCACCCACCCTGAGTAGAAATCCTATTTTGAAAAGAAGATCCTCAGAAAAGATCATAAAAGAATTCTAGAAGACTGGAGCTGGATTGAAGTGCAAATCTAATGCCTAACCTCCCTCGTTTCATTGATGGGTAAACCAAGGCACAGAAAAAGATAGACTTGCTTGACTAAATAGTTACAAGCAGAACCAATTCTTCAGCCTGGTTTCTAGCCCCATCTATCATTTTTCTTCTCAACTGATGTTTAATTGTTTCTTTTTAAAAAGTTCAAGAACTTGGATATTGTTGACTGTCAACTAGAATCTACATTTAACAGCACGCTGTTTAAAATCTTCTGGCTACTCTTGTCCTATCGTCAGGCATCACTATTGGACCAGCCACACCTAGAGAAGTGGACTTTGCCTGTGCTCTGATTCTAAAAATAGTGGCTCAAAGAGTGAACTTACTTGGTGCTGAGAAGGCTGGAGAGCAAAAGGCAGCCAGCAGGACGAGGAGAGAGAGGACTGCCACGCAGTGCTTCATGGTCTTGGCTGTGGAGAGGCTTTCCAGAAGATGGGACTGCAGAGCTCAGAAGCTTCAGAACCCAAGCTGTGTTCTGTGCTGACACTGAGTTGGACACCCCTCTTTATAGGGACTTGAGAGCCTTGGATTGGAAGTGGGGGCACAGAGTGACAAGTGGAATTTCCAGGGTAGAGATGATGTCATGGTGCCAATAAGGAAACTGAAGCTGGCTGAGAGTGAGGAGTTTCGAACAACTTCTTTTCCCCCCGGGGCCCTATCATCACAGAGGAAAGAGGAGAGAGGTGGAGGGGAAAAAGTGGGCTGCACCCTAGAGGGAAGTGGTACACCAAAGACACTGACTGAGACTGGTGCGAGAATTGCAAGTCCCCGAGGAAGAACAAAATGTTCATACCTTCTAGAATAGGTTTGTAGACAAGTTTTACTCCATAAAATTGTTTTCTTTTGGGTTTTGTTCATTAATGTCTCAACAACAGTTTTATGTTCACACTAGTGAAACTATAGACTGAAAATGCACAGGACTTGTGTCCATATGTCAAATCAATTGCCTTCACAACTGAGGTAATTTCTAAGTAACCCAATGAGAATGAGTACACCCTTGGTACCAGCTGTCAGGAAATCAGGAGACAACATTGCACTGGGAAAGTCGGCAGTTAGGGACCTCTCCAAATTATTGAGAAGTAATGATGTCAGTTTGAGGACTAAGGTGTGTCTGATTCAGGTCATGGTCTTTACAATCACTTGCTATACCTCTGAGAGTTGGACAGTGAATAAGGATGACAGAGGAAGAATTGATGCCTTTGAGCTGTGGTGCTGGAGAACAGCACTGAACATCTCATGGACTGTCAAAAGAACAAACGTATATGTCTTGGAGAAAGTGCAACCAGAGTGCTCTTTGGAAGCAAAGATAATAAAGCTTCGCCTCACACACATACTTCGGGCATGTTGCCAGGAGAGGCTATTTCTTGAAGAGGAATGTCATGCTTGGAAAAGTGGAGGAATGGTGAAGGAGAGAAAGACGCATTACCACATAGATTGACACAGTGACTGCAGCAATGGGCTCAAACATGTCAGAGATTGTGAGGACGTCACAGGATAGGACAGAGTTCAGATCAGTTGTTCATAGGATCACTATGAGTTGTTCTCAACTTGAGGGCACCTAACAACAGCACCAACAATAGAGAAAGATGATGGCTCTTGAACACACAATCAAAATAGGGCTCACCTTTTCTAGAGAACATTCTTTAACCTTCTCCAACCAGAATGATGCATTCTCTATTCTCCCACCCCTCCAAAGCTACTACCATCCGATCACTTATCACATATGCATCTATTCACTCTATCATCACCCCTACAAGTGAGTTCTGTCATGTAGAAATAATGCTATGTTTGTGTATTTATACACCATAGGTACTCAATAGTTACTTGTTTATTGAAAATCCAGGGAAATACATGTGTGTGAATTTAAGAGGTGACTTTTTTTTCTTTTTTTCAAATGAAATCAGAATGAACTGGATATACTGATACTCTTTTCAAAATGTAACTCTTCTCTCTTTACCCTCAACCCACAGCGCAGTGACTTTATGACAGCTCTTTCTACCTCAAGGGTATGAGAAGTGACAGTAAGAGTCCACTGGGGTTCCAGTGAGCCCCCAGTGTGTTTTGAGGGTCACCTCATCACTCCAAAGCAGGGAAGGCCCTTCATTTCTCTTTCCTGTAATACAGAAGTTTCCCCTACCCACGTTTTGACTGACGCTATGCTCGTAATTGTATTCTGGAAACTTTCACATCTGTTTTGTCATTTTGTTCTCCTAGCCTACCCGGGCTGCCAGCAAGACCAATAACCACACAGTAGAGTGACCTTGCAGTGCAGCGGTTCTGCTACTTTTTGTTCGCCTAGCATAACCACAGTCATGGTTTTATCTAATGCCAATCCATTTTGCCACTGTACAGATTCAATAGACTCCAACTCACTGCCTTTACTTTAAGGTTCCAAATTATAGTGGAGCTCCAACGAGCTTCTAAGGCTGTAAATCCCTGGAGATGATAGTGGATTTGAACTACCAGAGAAGCACAGCCTTTGGATTGGCAGCACAGCTCCCTGTAGGCTATAGCAACAGAGCTCCCTCTTTGTACAGAAAAGTAAAGCAAAACTTTGAGACACTGTCAAGACCTGGACAAAGTCATACAAAATGTGTGTCAAGACTTAAGGTCATCCAACTCCTGGTCCAGAGAGGACTGGACTCCTCTACAGATGTGACCCTCTGAGATTCCACATAGAAACACAGTCTCTTTCTATGAGAAGGTACCAGCCTCTGGACCAATTGTTAACTGATGAGGGAGGTGAGGAAAGGTAGTCTATCTAGACAGTCTCATCTCTCCTAGAAAGATTTGAGCTAAAATTCTTGAGTGTCAAGTGAGTATTGGTTGTTGAGCCCAGAACCAAAGCTATTTGGGAGCAAATGTGGAGACTGGAAATCCAAGGTGATTAAGAAGAGGCAGAAGCTATGGTTTTGCAAATATGGTGGCCAAATAATTTGGAGAAATGGGAGCAAATATTGTCGTGAACTCAAGGTTTAAGGTTTAGCATGGAGTCCACCGGGCAGCCTACCACACTCCAACCTCTGCTAGTCATCTCCACTGTTATTTGGTTGGTTTTTTTAAAATTAATTTTAATAGTCATCTCCACTCTTACGGTGGTAATGAGCTGCGATCTCCTGCCACAACCTACTCTTTGGCTACCAGAAGAAAAATGTAGTGACTTAGGGAGAGAGCTAATCTTCTAAAAATAAGAGGAAGACCTCAGAGTACTAAGTGAATTCAAGATGAACTTTATAATTTTATTCCCATGACCTTGCTCTATCTTGAGTTAGTTTTTGTAGATGGTGTGCAGTATGGATCTTATTTAAATTTTCTACAAATAGATACCTTGTTTTGCCAGCATCCTTTTTTTTAATTTTTAATTTTTAATTGAGATTTTAATGAAAGATTATAAAGAACTTGGATTTCCATTCACTCATTTTTGCACATTTCCCCCCCTGCCCACTCCTCCCCTTCCATCGTTCACTTTTCTCTTTGAGAAGAAAAAAAAATTCTTTCACTGTTATACAGCTCCCCCCCCCCCCAGTCCACCTTACTATGCAGCTCTTATTCTGGACTCCTGCCAGACAGCCTCATTTTTTAAAGCTGCTGTCTTTTCCTCACTAAATGGATTATGTCTTTTTGTCCAAGATCAGCTGGCCACAGGTAGATGGATTAACAATGCCACTTTAGATCCTATGTGTTGAGATATAGAGAGGCACACTGGAAGGAAAAACAGTTGATGAGATATTCTTGCAAGTGATGATGGTCGGACCTGTTAATAACTGTGAGAATGAGATGAAGTGGAGACACTTGAAGGATACTTTCAACATAGAACAGACTCTGTGGGAGATGAAGAGGTGGGATGTCCAGAGTGATTCCCAGGTTTCTAGTGTCAAAACTTGGTAGGAAGGGATGATTTTATGGGACAGAAAATAAAGAATGAGGGAGCCATTGTGGAGAAAGGAACTGATCAAATATCAAGTCATAGAACAAAGAAATGGCAAACATTCAAGATAGGAAACAAGGGCCTGGTTGTAAATTATCACTCTCTGGTTTTCTAGAATGTTTTAAAAATGACCCTTGGATATTATCCTTGCCTACATTGAAGGTAGGCTCAAACCTAGTACAACCTGACTACGTGAACCCCACCTAGCAAGGCTAGTTCAAGCAAGGGCATCATTATTAATGGATCTCTCCATGTAGCTCCTGCTGCAGAAGAAGAAAAATTAGATGAACAGCTGAGGAGATGAAGCTGAAGAGCAGAGACTTGAGGGACACTGATCCGAGAAGGCCAGGGCATAGAAAGGAGGCCAACAGAACAAACACTACCAGGTGATAGTAATGTCACCAGAATTCCCTGAATCCATGCCTGGGAAGCTCTGGTGCACTGAGGTAGGCCTTCAAAGAAAGACTGAAATGATCAGAAAGTTAGGAGGGCCCACAGTGCTGGCTACTGTGTCATTACCATCTAAAATATCTTGGATAGTCCCTCAAAGATTTTGACACCCTGGCTTTTGATCCTTTCATTCCTATCAGCTTTTTTAACTCCATAGGAATACTTTGGGAATAGCATATACTGTTAGTAAAATCATTCATTCACCAAGTGTTTATTAAGTACCACTAAAGATAGGAGATGACAATATCTGGTTTTAGGGATCTACACATTGAGGATACACTGGGTAATATCACCTACTCACTCACTACCATCAAGTTGGAATCAAGTCATAGCTGACCATTCAGTAGGTCTTCAGAGGCTATGAATCCCCTGGGAGATTGTCCATCTCTCTCCTGCAAAACAGTTGGTGGATTTAAATCACATGTCTTTAGGGTAGCAGTGCAACTCCTTCTTCAAAGACTCCCTATTCATCAAAACTCCCTATTGAACAATTTAAGAAATATCAAAAGAAGATGGAAAGAATACACAATCACAAGACCAAAAAAGTTGGTCAATGTTCATTAATTTTAGGAGGTAGCATATGATCAACAACTGACAGTATTGAAGGAAGAAGTCCAAGCTGCACTGAAGGCACTAGTGAAAAAAAATGAGGAATGGAAAACTGAGATGTTTCTTTACATGGATGTAATAAGAAATTTGGAATACAGCTACCGGATCAACAGACTGGAAGAAATCCATATTTGTTCCCACTCCAAAGAAAAGTTATCCAACAGAATAAAGCAAATATCAATCACACAGTATCACAGGCAAGTAAAGCTTGGCTGAAAATAATTTAAAAATATTTACGGCAGTATATTTACAAAGAATGGCCAACAATTTAAATAAGATTCAGGAGAAAATGTGCAACAAGGAATATCACTACAGCTATCAGGTGAATTTTGGCTGAAAGCAGAGAATACTAGAAAGATATTGATCTGTGTTTTATTTACTATGTAAAGACATTTGACTGTGTGGATAATAACAA